ATATATATATATATATATATATATATATATATATATATACAGTTGACCCATGTATAGCAAAGGTTTGAACTGTGCAGGAACACTTATGCTCAGATGTTTTTCAATAAATTTGTACACGATCCGCATTTGGTTGAATCCACTGATGCAGAACCTGGATGCTGAGGGCTGACTATAAAGTTACACTCGGAAGTTGACTGCACCAGGGTGGGTGCCCCAAACCCCTCGTTGTTCAAGGGTCAACTATGTTTGGAAAAATGGTTCTTAAGTAGGTATCAGGAAAAATACTGCAAGAACAGTAAAAAGGTTTGAAAGAAGAATGTTTCATCAATGTTGGGTCTGTAAATATTAAGAATATATCATTTTAAAAGGGTAAACTCATTACCACAGTGGGATACTGATATAACAATAGATGCACAGGCCAATGGAACAGAAGACAGAGCCTGGGAACAGAGGCTGGTCTATAAAGGACTTTAATATGTGATGAAGGAAGAAGCAGAACAAATCCACGGGATGAGCAAAATAAGGAAAAAGACTGGGAAGAGGAATTAGCTTAAATTTTATGTATGTCATATACCAAAATAAGTTGGAAACAGATGAAAAAGACATAAAATATGAAAATAAAATAATAATAGAGAAGAAAACGGGTAAATGTTTGACTCATGTCAAGCTGGGGAAGCTTTTTATAAGTATAAAAGCAATGGAAAAGAATCATTAAAAGATTAATAGATTTGACTGTATTTAAAAAGAAAGAGACTACAACTCCTATACATAAAAATAACCCCAAACAAAATTAAAGTAATAACTAAATGGTGAAAAACTCTTTTCACGAACATGACAGATAAGTGATTATTTTTCTTAATATAGAAGGAGTTAATGCAAGCTGATAAGAAAAAAAGTGACTTTCCCAGTAAAAAAAAAAGTGGACAGCAGTCTTGGAGTATGAAAAATAACTCATAAGTGTGAAAAACTTTAATAACCAAAGAATTAAAATTTATACCAATGAGAAGCCATTTTTCACCAGCCTTAATGGCAGATACTTGAGACACAGTCAGTGCTCAGGTATTGAACACTCGCCTCCTCTCTGCCCAGCCTCTCAGACCCGAGGATGGATGGCAGAGTCGTTGCGGAAATCGATTTGCCAGTAGGTCTCAACAGCCTTAATACCATTCATGCCCACTGACACAGTAATTCTACTTTGAGGAACCTCCTTTAAGATATTGATCAGAAATGTGGGCAGAATTTATGAAGAAAAAGGCTTATCACATATTATTTATAGTAGCAAAATATAACAAACAACTTAATTCCCATAGTAGGAGAACTCTTAAATAAATTATGTTTCCTCTTATGTGTTTATTATGACGTCTCCACAGTGGGCCATTATTCAGCTCTTTAAAATGATATTTATAAAGGCTTCTTTAAAGAAAAGAGAAAGTACCTTTGTCATCTGAGAGGAACATGTTATAAGGCTCTGAATTACCAAGTTCAGGTCTGGTTCTCTAGCAGATTCCGGTCTCTAGCTGATAATTTGAAAGACACTGATATAGGAAAGAGAAAGGCAAGCAGCTTCTTTAGATCTACAGGAATAAAGTAATTTATAAAAGTTGAAGATAAATTCTACCACTAAAATAAAAATCTTTACTACATGCATCATTAAGTAGTAATAAGCAAAAACCCAAGTTATGATGAGAAAAACAAACTTTAACTGTTACGTGACATAATGAAGCACAAGTGAATGCTGGATTCAAGCACAGACTGAGGGGTTCGCTTTTACACAGCAGTCTCACTGTGCATCACAACCACAGTAAAATGACACGTGGTTGCATTTCATGAATTTTGGGGTGACTTGTGAAAGGGAGAATCCATGTGGAATTGATAAGTACCACCATCTACAATTTAAAGGCTACAAAGCCAGAAATAGAACTGTTTATACAGTATGATATCGGTTGTGTCAGAAAAAAGCACATACATACATATGTACATACATACATATGTATAAATTAGATAAGACTGGAAGGAAATGTATACTCATAGTTGTTGCCTCTGGGTGGTATAATTGAGGTTGATTTGGTTTTCTTGTGTATGCTTTTCAAATTGTTTTTAGTGATCATATTTATCTTTTATATATAATTAGATAAAAACCAATACGTTTTTAGAGTAGTACTCTCATATACTAGACTTGTTTTTCCTGGGCTTAAGAAACTTGCTGCTTCTTTGTGGGGGTGGCCACTATGGCCTCTGGGAGCCATCCTCTGCTGTCAGTTGTTCTCCTTGGTTCCAGAGCTGAGTCACAGCCTGGACACACGTGAAGTGAGTGCCAGGTGCTCAGGCTGGACAGTGTTTTTCTTCACTCACCGATGCCCTCTTGGTAAAAAGAATTAGTGTTTTGTGATGACCCTCTCTCTGACACATGAGTTGCAAAGCAGAGCAGACCACTGATTGAGCTGCTCCATATCTTCTTTTTCCTCTCAGGGGACAGACAGGAGAATGACAAAGAGAACTTAAACTTGGAGAACTACAGGGACCAGGACCCTCAAGCCTCAGGAGAGCCTCCTCAGACTTCCTTGAGTGGCCTCTTCAGCAAGGATGAGCCGAGATGCTTTGGAGAAGGAGAGAATCTCCCCGAGGCCCAGGAGAACCTTCATGGTGAGGGGACAGGGGCGCAGCTCTCTCCCCGAGAGAGGAATTCCGGGACACAGCTGGGTCAGCATCTGCCACCTCTTCCCGGAGAGCCGTCCATGCCATGGCTGGAGGGGAAGAGAGAGGCCTCCCCACGACGGCAGCCGAGAGCCCCCATGGCCCAGAGACTCCCTACCTGCAGGGAGTGTGGGAAAGCCTTCTACCGGAATTCCCAGCTGGATTTTCACCAAAGAACTCACACTGGAGAGACGTACTTTCAGTGCCCCACCTGCAAAAAAGCCTTTCTGCGGAGTTCAAACTTCGTGAAGCATCAGCGAATCCACACAGGCGAGAAGCCCTGCAAGTGTGATACGTGTGGGAAGGGCTTTAGCGACTTCTCGGGGCTGCGCCACCACGAGAAAATCCACACGGGGGAGAAGCCCTATAAGTGCCCCATCTGTGAGAAGAGTTTTATTCAGAGATCCAACTTTAATAGGCATCAGAGGGTTCACACAGGAGAGAAACCGTATAAGTGCTCCCGCTGTGGGAAAAGTTTCAGCTGGAGCTCAAGCCTTGCCAAACATCAAAGATCCCATTTGGGAAAGAAGCCCTTTCAATAGCCAAGCTCTGTGAGCCCATGTCTGTCTCCTGGTCCATTTAAAAATACTTGGCGGGCTTCCCTGGTTGCGCAGTGGTTAACAATCCGCCTGCCAATGCAGAGGACACGGGTTCAAGCCCTGGTCTGGGAAGATTCCACATGCCGCGGAGCAACTAAGCCCGTGCGCCACAACTACTGAGCCTGCATTCTAGAGCCCGCGTGCCACAACTACTGAAGCCTGTGCACCTAGAGCCCGTGCTCCGCAATAAGAGAAGCCACCGCAATGAGAAGCTCGTGCACCACAATGCAGAGTAGCCCCCGCTCGCCACAACTAGAGAAAGCATGCGTGCAGCAACAAAGACCCAATGTGGCCAAAAATAAATAAATTTATTTAAAAAAATAAAAAACAAACTTGGCTCCATCCGTAGAAATTGCATCTCTTAGAAAATAGCCCTGTTGTCTCATTTTTTCATGGATTGGAGAGGAGAGACTGGGACATGGTTTTAGACGCGGAGGATATCTTGGCCTCGGGATCGGATTTCACGCAGGTTGACTTTCTTGCTTCTGCATCAGGAGGAAGAAAAGTCTTCACCTTTCAGCTCATCTCTTCTCTTGGACCCCTTGGGGAAAATGTGTCACTTGGAGGTCCCATTTTAGGAGTGGTCTCTGGGAAGGGTTTAACTGGATTAGCCGCAGCTGCTGCTGGGAAGAACCTCACATCCGCCCTTTAGAACTGTGGTCCTAGAGCAGGTCTTCTGTTCCAGAGGGGGGAGCGTAGAGGCCAGTTAGCTCAGTGTGGTCTTTGTCATAAAGGTGCAAAGCTAACTCCAAGCTTCCCTTGTTTTCAATAAACTTGGTGGTCACTCCCTGTCTTGTCTGTGTCTGCAGCGTCCACTGTGTGCTGACTGGAACTCACAGACCCTAAGTGGTGGTTGAGCTCCTAGATCAGCTCGTACAAACCCACCAAGTTTACCAGCCAGCAGAACAGTGATGGGAACTTGCTAGCCTGGTGCCCCGGTGAGAGCTTGGCCAGTGCAGGGCACTCTGGTGTCCTCTTTCCGTGCCCACCTCCCACTTGCTCTGGGGCCTCAAGTTGCCCCTCTTTCTCCTGGCGTCCCCCTTAGGCCATCCATCATTTTTGCCAAAGTGTCCTGGCCTCTAAAATAATCTTCCTTCTCTCATTTTGTCTGTACATGTTAGGAAGAAATCAATAGTATTGATCCAATTTATAGTGTATCTAGAGGTTTATTAACACACATATCTAACCTGACCACTTGTCTCCAAAACTGACGTGACCCAGAGTGTCCTGCTCTCGTACCGCGACACCACTTTCCTTCCATCTTGGTCGTCCTCTGCCTGCTCTCACTGTACTGTTCCCAGTGAGGATCAGGAAGCGTGATGCTGAGGAGGAGGACAGAGCTATCTCCATGGGAACAGATGAACTGTAGGCAAGAAACTGCAAGTTGTTGGCAAACAATGGGAAGTACATTGCTGGCTGATGTGAGGAGAGACAGCACTTAGGTTGGAATCCCTGGATTCCAGAGGAATTTGTTAACTCTTACAGCATGAAGATGAGGAATAAGGCCCTTCTTTGGGGGATGTGGGAACCACAAGGCAGAAAGCAGGAAAATCATGGTGGAATTGGCATGAGACTCTGTGTTCTCATAGCAGAGGTTTGTAGGAGGGTGGGTTTTTATGTCTTGCATCAGGAGTTCTCAAAGTGCAGTCCCCAGACTTGGAGCATCGGCAATTTCCTAGACTTACTGAATCAGACTCTGAATGGTGGGGGCCAGCAATCTTTGTTTTAACAAGTCCTCCAGGGGATTCTGATGCCTGCTCAAAATGAAGAACCACTGTACTAAATAGTAATTAATCCAAAAATAAGTCTCTCCAAGGATATGTGGAAATAATGATCCTAGAAGGAGTGGTGAATCCCCACCCCCAGACGACTTAACCAACAAGCCCCCCCATAGAGCTCTTTACAGCTCATTAAAACTGTAGACCTCTTTGGGCATCCAGTGAAAATGTGTTCCACAGAGGAAAATCTAGAAAACTTTTAGGTTAAAAAGCTTTAGGTGAAAGAGTTCTCCTTGGGCCCCTCTTAAATGATCTGAAGGATGACAGAAAGACAAGGAAACAATCCACCTTGTTTGCAGTTTTGTCCTCGGCAAGTAGTATATGTTAAACACTTGTTAAATGGCTGTGTGGATTAATGAAGGATAAATATTGCATATATACTTCCCTTATCCTCTAGAGCAGTGATCAGCAAAATTTAGCCCACTGCCTGTTTTTGTAAAGTTTTATTAGAACGTGGCCACACCCATTCGTTTAGGTATCATCTATGGCTGCTTCAGGGTTACAGTGGTAGAGGTGAGCAGTGGCAACAGAAGCAGTATGCCCTGCGAAGCCTAAAATATTTACTATCTGACCCCTAACATAAAAAGTTTGGTGGCCCCCTGATCCACAGTAACATTCCTCAAACCATAAAGTGCATACAAATCACCTGGGGAGCTTGTTAAAATGCAGACTCTGATTCATGGGCAATGCCGGTGCTGCTGGGCCCCGGACTAGCTGGGAACTAGGGCGCTGCGTGTAGGGCTGTATAATGACGTCAGGGCTCAAGTGCCTGTGGCTCGTTTCTCTTGGGCTCTTCATGATAACTTATGACTCTGCAACGCTCAAAGCCTGGACCAGACACAGTTGAAGAACAAATCGCTTTATTAGGAAAGGGTCAGTGTTACGAGACTCTTCTCCCTAGTTCCCAGGTCCACACTCCTCTGGCTCTGCCTCACTTTAGGTCCTTCTCTCCGAGTTCCCCAAAGGAATTCTTCAGAACTGTGAGTGCTTTCGGTTTCTCATCTTTCTCTAGGGCTGTGGTCCGCCCTCTCCACTGGTCCCTCTGGGCAGCCTCCAGCCCAGCTCTGTCTCCTCGGTGGGTCTGCAAGGAGCTACACCTGGAGAAGCAAGGCTACTCCGGCCAGAACCCACTTGGAAGGCTTCTCCTTCGTCTTCAGGTGTAAAGTCCACACGTAGGTGGGTCCTCGCTGACAAGTCTTGTACACAGGACAGGGATAGGTACTGCGGCAATCCTGCTTATCTGCGGGGATGGCCTTGAGGAGCAACACAGGCATGGGGGGCGCCAGCTCCTTCAGCTTCCCCTCGGTGATGACCCCAGCCTGAGGACAAGGACATGAGAACATCTCAGGTCAGGCCCCAAGCTCAGCCAGCCAGGCCTGCTCCTGTCGGGAGATCCGGGAGAGAGACTGGGAAGACCTGGTTGCCCTGGGCCCACCCCCTTACTAAGTTCTCTCGACAACCCACGATGGGGTGCCGTGGAGGGGTGGACATCATATTCCCAGTGTTTTTCAGCCTGAATATCTTCTCGAAGCAGAGTTCCGAAAGCTGTTGCCTATCATATGCACATTAATCTCTTTGGGGCTTGAATTTCTCTTAGTTTTATTTTGTCATTTCGTAAGCATACCGAATGCAGCTATCTGCCAGATGTCATGCTAGGTGCTAGGGACTTAAAGCTGAGCAAGACACAGTCCCTGCCGGCAAACGCTTTAGATGTTAAGGCTTTGGTTATGTCCTGTTCCAGCTTCTTATGTGCTGTCCTCCACCCTCTAGAGCATTTTCTCTTTTTGAGCAGAGGGAGCTGTGTTCTATCTTCACTCAAGTAACAGGGACCTGGCCGTTCTGTAGCTTTCCAGCTGGGGCCTCTCTCTGGTTCTCTGAGATGTCTCCATAGTGCCGTGTGGGGAAGTTTTTCCTAGTAGTCCTGAGAAATATTCTGAGGAACAAAAAGGTGCCTTGGTGAAATAAGCTTGGGAAGTGGTGCTTACCATGCCCTGGACCTGAAGCTTTACGGTGCTCACTAGCACACTGCAGACAAGAAGTCCTGGCAGTAAAGAAAACAGTTTGACTTTATTTATCCCAGTCTTTCCCAAACTTATTTGACCACAGGACCCTTTTCTTGCAACCTATTCATTTCTCGTGGCACTAGGGTTTTCTGAACATACTTTGGGAAATGATGATCCAGAGTGACTTATGGATTCCTTGCCTGTGCCTAGGTGATTCTGAGCCCCTTATGCTTGGACAGAATTTGTTTTAATTCCCATGAAATGTATTTAACGGGAAGGATGTGCCTCTTCAGTTCTGGTAGAGGCTGACATGAGGCATAGTAAGTAACAGAACTAAGGTAAACAGTGAGGACCCCTTGTCCCCCACAACTGACTGTTTATAGTAGGGAGTGGCAGCAGGGGTAGAACCTTTCTTTTTCCATATACCATAAAACCAACTCTTTTAAAATGTACATTTCACTGGTTTTTAGTATATTTATAAACTTGTACAGTCATCACCACTATCTAAATTCCAGAATATTTTTATCACCCCAGAAAGAAACTCTATAACCATTAGCTGTCACCATTAGTAGCGGGGTGTTAATGTCGTCAGTTATTATGGTTGAGTTGTCTTTCTCCCTTCAGTTCTGACAGTTTTCATCTCCTTTATTTTGGGGTCTCTTTTGTTAGATGCACATATATTTGTCATTGTTATATCTTCTTGATGGATGGACCTTTTATCACTGTAAAATGCCTTTTTTTGGTCTCTACAATTCCTCTCTCTTCTGTCTTTTCTCTAATAACAATTTTAAGTCTATTTTGTCTACTATTAGCATAGTCCCCCAACTCTCTTTGGTTACTGTTTTCATGGCATGTCTTTTCCATCTGTTTACTTTCAACCTATTTGTGTCTTTAAATCTAAAGTGTGTCTCTTATACACAGCATGTAGTTGGATCAGGTTTTTAAAAAGTTAATCCATTCTGCCAATCTCTGCCTTTTAATTGTAGTGTTTAATCCATTTGCATTTAATGCTTGCTCTTTTTTCAGTCATTTTTCTTCAACAAACACTGCTCTGGTTGCCAAAAGCCTTTGGTTAATTTCCGGAGTTCTGACAAGTTTGATTCTGGTATATATATATATATATATATATATATATATATATATATATGTATGTATAAAATTATTATATATGATTTTGATATATACCTTATTATACTATTATCTTATATATATGATATATATTATATCTTATTATATATATCTTTATATACATGTGTGTATATATATATATATTTTTTTTTTCTGCCAATGTTCTTGT